CGGGTTCATCCTTGAGGGGTCCGTGTGCAGCAGCAAGGACAGGGCAAGATGAGGGCCTTGATGTCACACCATCGGTGGAAGACAGTAGGGCACTTCGCAAAAAGATCAGACCCGAGTAGCCAGGGAAGACCTTATGGGAGAGGTGGGGTTTCTCAACATAAGCAGGGTCCCTCGGGCCAGGAGGCAGGGTGGCCATTCTGACAGAGGCAGCAGCTTGAGCAAAGCATGAAAGTGGGATGGAGGTGAGACTCAGGGTGGTGTTAGTGGGACCATAAGGAGCTGGGCTCACACTGGGGAACCGTGGAAGAGAGAAGAAGGGCTTTGGGAGGGATGGGGGAAATCATCGGTGAGGAAGGAGAAGGAGGGGGTTGATATCCAGAAGGAAAGGTTCAAAAGGGAAAGGACTCCTTGAGGATTCTAGGTCGGAGGAAAGCAAACGGGGCCCCAGAGTTGGGCGTATCTGTCAGTCTTTCTGGGTGGTGATGGTTCAGACTCCCTCCTGGCCCCAGCCCCATCTGCTGGCCTCCCTCCCTGCAGGCCAGCTGACCATGATCGTGGGGCAAGTGGGCTGCGGCAAGTCCTCACTTCTTCTCGCCACCCTCGGGGAGATGCAGAAGATCTCAGGGGCCGTCTTCTGGAACAGGTAACACACACATCCTCAGGGCTCAGGTAGTGGGGCGAGACTCACAGTGCGCGGGTGGGCAGCCCTCCTTCCAACCATCCTGCTCCGTTAAGGATGCCTTCATTGTGCATTTGTTGAGCACCTACTGTGTGTTCAGTGATTACTCAGTAAACGCTGTAACTCGTTATTCCCATCATCATCATGAGTACCCATTACCCTCACTATGTGCCAGGTACCTTGCCAGGTCCTCTGCATGCATTATTCCATTTACTCCTCACGACAGCCGGCAAGGTGAGTATGCATTATTATTTACTCCTCACGACAGCCGGCAAGGTGAGTACTGCTGACAGTTCTCATATCATAGATGGCGGTTAAACTACTTGCCCTAATCCATCCCCCGATAAATGGAATTCAAACTCAGTTCCATTTGATTCCCAAGCCGATGCTCACTCAGTGGGGGTGGGGGTGGGGTGCAACCCAGACATTGGTTTCCAGCTTGATCCTCAGCAAAGCTGGAGCAGACCATTCAGTCAATGTTTTGAGGAGCCAAAATTAACCCAGACAAACATGTGGGGAAAGATCGCTATCTTAAGTAAACAGCCAGAACCCCACGCTGAGCTCAGGACAAATCTATCATTTATACCCACCTATTCCCAGAAAGCGGTTACTCAGTAAAGGCTGTGACTGGTTATTCCCATCATCACCATGAGTACCCATTACCCTCACTATGTGCCAGATAACTTGCCAGGTCCTCTGCATGCATTATTCCATTTATTCCTCATGACAACTGGCAAGGTGAGTACTTCTGACAGTTCTCATTTCATAGATGGTGGTTAAACTACTTGCCCTAATTCATCCCCCGATAAATGGAATTCAAACTCAGTTCCATTTGAGTCCCAAGCCGATGCTCACTCAGTGGAGGTGGGGGTGGGGTGCAGACATTGGTTTCCAGCTTGATCCTCAGCAAAGCTGGAGCAGACCATTCAGTCAATGTTTTGAGGAGCCAAAATTAACCAGACAAACATGTGGGGAAAGATTGCTATCTTAAGTAAAGAGCCAGAACCCCACGCTGAGCCCAGCACAAGTCTATCATTTATACCCACCTATTCCCAGAAAGCACTTGAGACTAGTTGATAAAAGATACATATAAAATAAAAGCTTTTTAAAAAGAAAAAAGGAACCAAGAAATGAAGAGATTGGAAAAGGTGTTCAGAAACCTGGGCAGAGCCAAAACCGGTTTGGCTCAGTGGATAGAGCGTCGGAAGCTTTTTAAAAAGAAAAAAGCAACCAAAAAATGAAGCATTTGGAAAAAGTGTTCAGAAACCTGGGCAGAAGTCGGCTAGTGCATTTACTACACAACCTGGCTTGGAGC